ACTAAACGGTCTATTAATGTTTGCAGATCCTCCGCATTATCAGCAATTAAAACCGTATCGTCCGCATATCTTAAATTGCTTATGATTTCACCACTGTTTTTTATACCTTCTCTTAAACCATCAATAGCTTCTCTCGCTATTGAAAATACGGTCTCTCGCGTTCCCAGTCCGATTCTAAACCGAAACTGAACACTGCTAATCTTTTCTTCAAGTTTTCTATATATGCGTGAGTGAATAACAGAAAGAAGGATTTTGAGTGCATGGCTCATTATAAGCTTTTAATTCTGTAATCAGAGCATCTGGAGGCATTTGCCTTTTTGAAGAGAGGGATGAAGGTGGAAACTAGCCACCTATTAAGTTATGATTTCGTGATCCATTTCCTACCGTTAAGCTTTTGATCTTTTTATGTAGGTTAAAAGTGTTATGCTTCTGTTCTAGGGATTCTATTTCTATGCATTGATCTTGTAGCCATGATACTTTTGCTTCTTTAATATTTTTCCTAATAATTTTGTTTATTTCTTTGTACCTTTCCTCATTCTTATTTCTGTGTTTTTTTCGTTCTTCCATTAGCTCTAATATTTCTTGTCTCATACACGGCTGTTTCTTTATATGTTTTTCTGGTTTAAGTTTATTATCTACCACTGAATTACAGATATTTTTAATTTTATTCCACACGTCATCCACACTTGTGTTTTCTTGATTAATATCTGAGATTATCATGTTGTTTATTTTTGTTGTTGATCTCCTCTTTGACTTCGTTTCTTATGGTTTTGTCTTTCAACTTCTGGATATCCGGACGTTTTTGTGCTTTTCTTTTATGGACTTTTTTCATTATATTCCACTTAAGCGTTGTGGTTCTTTCGATGACGTCTTGAACTCCTGATCTTTGCCTGATTTGTTGGTTTGTTATGTGGTCTCGAAGACTCACGTTCAGCATTGCACGTTCCATGCCTCGTTGTGTAACTCTGAGTTTATTCGCAGATTTTTGCGTGAGTGTTAAAGTCTCTGCTCCATAAGTTTGTACAGGCAAAACACATTGGTTATAAACCTTTCGCTTGAAACACATGGGAATTAAACTTTTTAGAATATGGCTTAATTTGCCAAATGCTGTCCATGTTAGGCCTATTCGCCTTTGTATTTCATGTGTTTGATTGTCTGCTTATTTTGATTTCGTGTCCCAGATATTTGTAAGTGTCTGTTTGTTGTATGGTATTATTGTCAATAGTTATATTTCCACTCATTACGAGATTTGTTATAAGTTTAGTTATCTCAGAGTTTATCTTTAATCCTGCTCTTTCAGACAGACTTTTAAGCGAATGCATCATAGAAACTGTATCATGTAAGTTAACTGCGATTAGTACAACATCATCTGCAAACCTTAGGTGATTTAATCTTTCTCCTTCTATATTGATGCTCATATCTTGCGATATAATAAATACTTACTGCAGTGCAATTGCTCTCCTTTTCCTTGACCTAGAACGTTTACTGGAACTCATTTTTTATCTTGTCTCTTATAACTTATATCACTAACCTAATGTAATAATTAAAAATACGCGTAAACTAAAGAACTTTTAACTTATACCACTAAACTAATAATATATTACTTAAACATACTCGTAAACTAAATAATTTCACTGTTTTCAAAATAAATAAGAATACTGTAAACTGTAAAAACTAAGCAAGTTGATAAAGAAAATACAAGAATGAAAGAACTAAAATGGATTCTGATTCAAGTGAACTAACTGACCGTACCCATAGAGAAATAAAAATAAGATCGTACCGTACGTTCATGAGATTTGACGTCACTAATGCCATAACGATCAAGCTAAGCGACAATTATGAGGAACACGTTTCACTATTAGATTTCAGTATTTTTTAGCAATTTTCTTCAAAGTTTGAATACGCTTTTCTCGATTATTACTGGACACAGAAAGGTGAAAAAAGAATCAACGATTACAAAAAAAAAACTCTTTCAACTGATGGGCGTGAAAAGTTTGGTTATAATAGAATGTTAAACAGTATAATCCAATTTTTCAACAGAAAATTCAAAAAAATAAAAAAATTAAAACGATCATTTTAAATGCAACATAATTTCGAATAACATGTCCAAATTTCGAGACATTTCGTCGGTAAATAACAGAGAAACAATTTTGGTGCACCGATAAAACAGCCTTAAACCAAAAAGTTGACAGAACTCAATTAAGTTGTTCCCTGAACCATTTTTAACTATTTCTCCGTGCCGTCACACCATGTCATTCCCTATTTGTGAGAACCTACTCTGGCATTTAGGTCTCCAATAGTATTATTTCTTGATGACTTTTTATTTTATCACAAATGTTTGATAACTCTTTATAAAAGGAATCTTTAACTTGTTGATTTGAATCATCTGTTGGCGCATAGACACCAACAACTATTGTTTCGATGTCGTACAATGTAACAGTTATTGTCAGTATATTTTTCCGTATATATCTTTAAATAAGTTATTTAATTTTATATTATTTTTTGTGTAATACAATACAATATTTATATTAATTAAAAACTTTGTTTCTTCATTTCTTCGTATTTATTTTTGAACTTCTTTTGTAACTTCTTGTTCTAAGATAACATGGATGGAAAATAACTGAAACCTCTTTAAATGGAAATAAAATCACTGTTTAAATTCACCATTAGAAGGTACTTAATTTTAAAGCTTTGTTCAAACTAAAAATTTATCTGATAATATTTTATTTTAATAACAAAGAACAATGTCATGATTCTAAAATTGTTACAATCCATATTTGAGAGTTGTAAATTATTGGCAAATCTGCGGTATGCGCCAAGTACCAAATCTTTAAATCGCGTATCGTTCTTGTGTAATACTTTTTATCAATTATGTTTTTATTTTATTCCCAACAAATTTACTTGATGGAAGACCATACTAAATTCTTACTATAGTAACCAAATTGAGTTTAACGTAGTACGCACGAATGTTGGTGGGAATTTGTATTTGTATTTAAGAATCGTATTTCCAATTAAAGCAACAGATGAAATAATAACTCTACTTCTTCTTCTTATGGTGCCCTATCCGATTAGTGGATGTTGGCGACAATGTTGCGACAATTTAAGGGTGCATGGGCATCGAGGTTTGTCCAATCCCTTATGTTTTTAAGCCATGAGTATTTCTTTCTTGCGATGCCTCGTTTTCCTTCTATCTTCCTTTCCATAATAAGCTATAAGAACTGGTACTTGGAATTTCGAAATATATAACCCAAATAAGCAGTTTTTCTTCTTTTTATTATTGGCAGCAATTTTCGTCGTATTCGATTTAATACTTCGACATTTGTTGTGTGATGTGTCCAAGGAATTTTAAGTAGTCTTCTAAATACCCAAATTTCAAAGACCTCCAATCGGTTCATCACATTGGCCTTTATGGTCCAGGTTTCTACACCATATAGCAGTATGAAGTAAATGTAACATTTTCCAAAGCGATATCGAAGCGTTAAGTTAAGGCTGCTGTTGCTTAGCAAGGTTCTCATATTAGTAAATGCTTTTCTGTCTGGCTCAATCCTGCTACGTATCTCTATGTCTGGATCTAGATCTTTAGTTATCCAACTACCGAGATATCTGAACTTGAGGACCTTTTGGATGTTCTTATTGTTTACTCTTATATTTAATTGCATATTTCGTGTTCTACTAACCACCATTACCTTCGTCTTGTCTATATTAATCTTCAAGCCCACTCGTTCTCCTTCAGTGTTTATTCTATCTATTAGTCGTTGTATCGCTTCTTGTCTATCAGCTATTATGACTATATCATCAGCATAGCGAAGATTACTAATAGTCTGTCCGTTGATTTTGATTCCATCTTCAGTATCACTTAAGGCTCTATCGAAAATCGTTTAGAGTAAAGAATAAAAAGGAGGGGTGACAGAACACAACCCTGTCGTACACCTTTTTCGATTGAAAAATATGATGTAGATTCCAGTTCTACTCTCACAGTTGCCACTTGATTCATATAAAGGTTCTTTATGATTTTAAGGTCATTCTGATCTATCAAACTCGACCAGAATAACTCTACCAGAAAGAAGTAATTGACTGCATAATCATCGAATGAAATGTAAGATCTTGTCCATGTTGTCACTGGTGTTTATTTTAAGAATGTGTATCCTATAATTTGGTTTAATCGTCGAATTAATCGTGAATTCGTCGAATCGGAATTTTGCTGTTAGTTTGTCAGTACACTCCAACACCTCTCTGACGTTGTCAAATACTTGCTGTGCTGAAAACTGTGTATGAAGGTCTCTGTTCTCAACTTTTTAAAGCAGGGTCAACTACAGAAACACGCATTTTAATGAGGGCACCAAAAACATCTAACCGTAGAAGGAACATCTTCATTCATGAAAAGAAAGGTCAGAAAAATGGAATGAAATAGTCATCAAAAATGGCCTTTACAATGACCGTTTTGGTCGCGTTTGCATCTGTGTTGGTGTACCGGTGGTGAAAGGATAAGCCGACACGAAAGGAGGCTCCTTTCGTGTCCTCTAACAAAAATAGCCAAACACATAAAAAAGAAAGTTATAACACCAGCTTTCAGAGCAAACAACAAGTTAGGCAAATATATTAAGAATACCAAAGAGCCAAAAGAAAAAGCACTTAAACAGTGGTGTATACAAACTACATGTGGTGAATTCCCAAAAACTTACATCGGTCAAACTGGTAGAACCTTTATCAAACATATAGCAGAACACAAAAGGAGTTTCAATACTAGAAAAACGGGTTCTTGGTACGAATTTCACCGTCTAGATCATTATCATTCTTTTAATGAACAGTTTCAAATTCTTCACATTCAAAATAAAGGACTTAAGCTATTGAGAAAGGCCCTCGGCCGAAACAGCTAATAAATTATAATAAATTTTGTAGAAGTATTGAAAACAAACGTTTTCAGTGTTTTATTTATATAAAATGAACTTCCACCAAGTAACAGTCGAATTCATCGCTTATATTGATTTTTTTGTTTTTAGACCATAACGGGGGCAATGTCGACGCTTAGCCCACCAGTAGCTTTAGAAAAACCTGAAAACCAAGTCAGAGTGGATTGGATTCAGGACTGCGCAACTGGTCCTGATTTTGACTATCCTCCAGAATTTTATGATCACACTGAGGCCCTTTGGAAGGACAGAGGTGTACAGGTAAGAGGTAAATGTATGTTGTGCAAGTGTTTTTAAGAAAATATGATCACTTTTAGTTTGCAATTTGCATTCAACATGTAAAGCATCGTTCATATTTTCTTGATATAACTTTAGAAAATAATGTTATAAAGAACCACTATGATTCCAAACACCATTTTCATTCGCAAAGAGCAAACAACACCAGCAAAAGAGTTTATTCCTAAATTCACAACCAGTTAGCCACTCATATTGTTCGTAAGATTTTTCCGAATTAAAATGTCGGACGCAAGTTTTTCTTTTAGTAGTGAGATTTTTCATTTCAGGCTTCGACCTACTTTTAATTAAATAAACAGTAATACCTCAGCTTCTTTTATCAATTATTTTATTATTTTTATTAATAATAATAGTAATTTTTATTATTATTTTAGATCGATTGTTTTAATATTAAAAATAAAATAAAATAAAAGATAAGAGTTGATTTAAAAATATTAAAACTATTGATCGAAGAAAGCTGTAATATTATCGTTTTCCCTATTCGTGCCATGTAAATATAATGTAGTACCTTTATTAATTATGTTCCATTTTTCACCAAAATTCAACGAACTAAAGCGTTTCTCTAATAACAAACATACCACACATTTACACACTACAGCTGATTACACAAAATGAGTCGACGAAGACGCCATTGTCAAACTCCAAATTTTGTTGCTTATAAAGCAACAAATACGGTTAACTTAACCTTCGCTTCTCAGTGCATAAGCCGGGTTATTTTTACATAAGGCAGAAGAAGCAACTCTGAACGTGGCTTATCCCGAAATAACTCTCCGACTTCCAATGTAGAATTACGAACAGTAAAGCTAAAGATATGCGCAGGGTCGGAACGAACTTGCTGCTCGTTCTACACAATTCTCGTGAGCAGCTTAAAAGGCTGCTTATATGGGTGTTGATTTAAATTATTTTTTGTTAAATATTCTCAGATACTCAGCTAGTACGCTATTACTACGGAAACCTAGGCCATACACCGCACGCCCCTGTATAAAGGGTTAAATCATTAATTAATGTCGCATATGTAGAATCCATGTACTTCCGGAGTGACAAAACCATTCCAACACGTCCTGAAATGTAGTATTTTGCTAAATTACTATAAAAGTATTTACATAATTTTGTTTCTTCTGTTTAGGCTACCTTCGATAGAAGTAATGAGTACCAACTCATAGACTGTGCTAAATATTTCCTCGATCAAGTAAGTGTGATCAGAAGGCCAGATTATACACCCACTGAACAGGATATACTGCGTTGTCGTGTCCTTACTAGTGGAATTTTTGAAACACTCTTCCAAGTTGATAAAGTCAATTTTCAGTAAGTAAAAACCTTATGTACATTTACTTTCCATTTTTTCGTGTAACATCGTTTATAATAATTATTACTGTAAATATAACGACATATAGAATTTTTCTTATAAAAATGATTGCACGTCATTCAAGATTTACGACGTCAGAACACCACAGCGTTTGGTAAAATGTCAACTATTTGTCAAACTTATTCCATTACTTCTTGTTCAAAATACTCTATCCTATATGAAAGCTTATCAGCTTTCTACAGACTATTTAGTTGTTTTGGCATAGCACAATCACAATACACAACAATTAGTTTTTAAAGCTATTAATCTAAATTTAATATGTATTTATAAATATAATTTATTAATATACAGATTGAACGAATTTAAAATGGATCATACAATTTAATATATGTCTGTTTGAACTGCAGTTGAAATAGTGGACCAATATAAAACTTGGACAAAAATAAATCCATACCTGGGTATAGACATTGTATAAAATATCGTTCAACTATCTGTCTCGCAACAATGTTGTTTGCTTAAAGGAAGCGATAATAGTTCAGGAAATGAAGCTCGAAAAAAGTTAAAACTTCGCAATTTTTTCGTCCTGCATGGATTGAGTTGAAATTTTAACAGAAGGTAGGTGATAGCCCAAGGATCAAAATCTATATCGAACCGAAGTGCGTTGAAGGGTTTTAGGGGTGAAAACTACCCCTAATTGTCAAAAATTATAAAATAACATATTAAACCTGAATATGGGTAAAATTTGGTTTGAATTAATTAAATAGTGATAGTTTCGTGCTTTTGAATAAAGTTCCATCATATTTCAACCCTTAAAAAGCGACCCTTGTTAGAGATTAATGTAAAAAAGTAGTAATGCGAAAAAAATGATTTCGCCTTGGAACAATTTGCATAAAAATTTGGAATTAAGCTCAACTCACCCTCTGCTTTATAGTTTATGTCATGCCGATGAACCCTGATTAACCCATTAGTTAAATAGTGATTTTTTTATACTTTAAATTTCAAACCTTAAAAATCAATTGTTATGAGTGCTATAGGTGAAAACAATTTTTTGCCAAAATTTTGCAACTTTTCAACTTTTGAAAATCACCCTTTACAACATTGCAGTTTTTATAAACTAATTTAATAGATATAAATTGAAAAAAGTAGAATTAAATACAAAAAAATTTATCAACATAAAAAGTTTTTTCCGAAAAAAAAAATTAATTGATTTTTTTAACATATTTCCCTCATTTTTAACGATAGAGTGTTTCTTCAAAAACGATTTTGTAGAGGTTTTTAACAGCTACAAGGATCTGTGAATTAAATATTTTTGGAACCCTTTGGAACATATATTCAGTATTTTCGGGGATATTTAAAAAAAGAAGGGTAAAAAATATGAAATTGTAAATCGTTTCTCGCTTTATGCTGTACTTTTTTCTAAAACTAAGCATTTTAAATGGGTCAAACTTCTTGGACATATTAACAATACATGTACAAAGAGAATTGGAGAAGGGTGAAGGGTATTGACCTTATTTTCATCATAACTCACTCAATTTTTGAGCTAGACCCTTTTTTAAGATAGGTCTATTTATGCTCTTTAAAAAAGGTTCTGTGAGTTTTCTTCCAAAAATGCATCATTTTCGAATTTGACTTTGAATCTTTCAAATTTGGCATTTGAAGAAAACCGCTGAACATTGATAGGCCGTATTTCGGTTCCTGTTATATCGCAAAAACATTTTAAAAAATGAATTGTATTTGTCTTTTTAAAAGCTACAAATTTGTTCTCTACAATTTTTTTGATAAAATTCACAATTTTCGAGTTATTCGCGAAAAATCGATTAAAAACGTCGATTTTTTCGTCTAAAAGTTGTTACTTTCAATCACGAATAACTTCAAAAATATCAGTTTTACAAAAAAAATGTATAGTTTGTTTAGAATCACTTTTTTAATCGAAACCCGTAGTTAAAAAGTAAAAAAAAAATTTACCCCCGAGATGGGGTGGCAACCACCCCCAAGGCTTTGTTGCCCTTTGGTTCGATATAGATTTTTATCCTTGGCTATTACCTACCTTCTGTTAAAATTTCAAGTCAATCCACGCAGGACGAAAAAATTGCGAGGTAAAATGCTTAATTTCCTGGACTATAAGTGGTTTGACAGCATAATAAAATCGTAGATTTATGTGTAGCTTTCAATTTTTTTGATTTCAGAATTCAGCAGCCCGCTGAAGTATTGGATTTTTATAATATAATTATTTGACAACCTTTTGTTGGTCAACCACCTACAGCAGAATTGAGCCGAAATACATAATATTTCGTATGTTCTGAATTTATTTCGTTCAATCTGTATATTATATTATGATCAAATTGTGTAAGAAATCAAAACATAAACAACGTTCCTACTCTAAGAAAGCGGCAACACTTTATACACTTTTGCCACACGCTTAATTGTCAATAAAATTTGAAGTATTTCCGTATCAGTTGGTTACAATTGTCTAATCTATTTAATTAAAATTATAATTTTGTGGAATATTAGACTTGAAGAGTTATTTCATAAAATTTATATTACTAATAATACATGTTTTTGGTTATTTAATCAAAATAATTCTAAAATTCCCTATATAATGATGATTACATTTTTTGATTATTATACCATGTTGACGCCTATGAAATACTGAGCAGTTCCGTATGGGTTTCCTATTATTAGCTGTGTTAGGAAAATTTGAACTCTAAGGTTGACGTTCTGGAAATTTTAAATATATAAAGTCACTTTATATAAATTGTGACGTGCAAAGTTTTACTTTGGAAAATGGTATATTTAATATAATAGTTTATAATAGAAATTTTTCCAAATCGCACAACTTTAAAATCACATAAAAATGATTCGCATAAAAATGATCCGCATAAAAAGAGACCTTATTGTATATCGAAATCATTTATATATTGGATATTGTACAGTATTGTGCGAATTAATGGAATCATAGGCTGTTTTAATGAAAAAACAGTTTATTTAGTAAAAAATTATATTTTGACAAAACTATAAAGGTAAACTTACATCATTCAGTAGGAAATATGTCACCCTTTGGCAGCAATTACTGGTTCTACCCGTTTTGGCATAGATTCTATTCTAGACTATTCTAATCTAGAGTTTCTGGCAGTTGTCAGATATCCTTTCATCTCGATACCAAACCTGAATGGCCGCTTCTATCATTTTTGTTTTAATGGTACAGTCGATTTTTCGCAGTCTAGCTTTGCAAATGGCGCATAAATTTTCAATGGGGTTGAGGTCGGGCGAATTGCTGGGCCAATCTTAAACATTAATCTTCTTATTTTTGAAAAATGCCATCATTTCCTTTGATTTGTGACAGGGAGCAGAGTCCTGTTGAAGAATCGCTCCTCCTTGGGGTTGACATTTTTGGAGTTGTTTGTCCAAATACTTTTCCAACATGGATTTGTATTTTTGGCTGTTCATCATGCCTTCAATTGGCATCAAAGATCCAACCCCCATGTATGAAAAATATCCCCAAAACATTTTCTTGTGAATATTGAAAAAATGAAAAAAAATTCACAGTGATTCCATTAATTCGCACAATACTGTAAATTATAATTGTTTTTTGTAGCATGTTTGACGTTGGAGGGCAGCGAGACGAGCGCCGCAAATGGATCCAATGCTTTAATGATGTGACGGCCATTATTTTCGTAACGGCGTGCAGCTCTTATAATATGGTATTGCGAGAAGATCCGACTCAGAACAGGCTCAAAGAAAGTCTAGAGCTGTTTAAGTCAATATGGAACAACAGGTGGTTGAGGACCATCTCCGTTATTCTTTTCCTTAACAAGCAAGATCTTCTTGCTGAGAAAATTTTAGCAGGTTAGTGAAAATAATAACGATTCGTCAACGAGTATTACCTGTTTATTTTAATTTATTAATATATATTCCGCAATTCATACCAATTCACTACATAACTCACCGAGAATATCTCATGACAAAATATTTAAAATATCCACCTTATTTACTTAACATAATTTTTGAAGTTCTCACGCCATATATTTTAGCAAGAGAGGGATCACTTTCCCCTTTAATCAGTCTAGAGTATTGAGTTAAAATAATTTCTAACTTCACAGTAGATAAAATTTATTCATCATTTTTTTGGGTTGTGGAGCCATGTTTACGTGTACAATTATGTTGTGTCACCAATAACTGTGCAGCAATTATTTCCCACAATATCCACAAGGAAAACAATTCCTGTAGCTGGTTGTATACCACGTATCACAAAAAAGAGGTTAGTCTTCGTAAATGGGTATATTGATTTAAAAACCCTTAAAAGGGCCACATAAAAAAAAAAACAAACGTTTTCGGACTAAACAGTCCATCATCAGGTTTAAATTTTAAAATTGCCAAAAAAATAAGTATAAACCATTTAGTTAAAACAAACGTGGTTATGAAATTTTGACTATGGTTAAAAAGCAAAAAAGGCTATACTTATAGGTTAAAATGCCTGAGCCACCAAAATACATGGGTAAAATCCCTTTAAATTACATATAGTTGTAAAAGATTATACATCATGTTGTTAAAAAACTGTGATGTTCAGTATTAAATTAAATTTGACTCCAGGTAACATACATTGCTGAATTGAGTTCCAGAGCCGGAGAGTAAACTTCTACACACGGAGAACAACTGGTAACTGATTGACAATATACCTATGAACGGTGTCGAAAACAAAATGTCAATGTAACATGAAACTACATTAGTTATACCTAGTATTACTACAGCCAAAAGATTAAAAAAATTATTTTGATGATTTTAAAATAATAACAGCAATCTAGGTGTTGAGATTTAAAAATTTTGGGGTATAATAGATGTGAAATCACCGATGGTGTTAAAGTCATGTTTAAGAGAATGACCTGTATATTAGTCAACCTATGTTACTTTTTGTCGTATGGAATATGGTCTAAAAGTGTATTTTATGTAAGATTAGCTTATATATATGAAAATTATCCTTTTATGTTTATCACAGCTAGGACAAGGTAAAAATTAAATAGCAAATATTTGAAGCTAATATAAGACCTCGTATTTAAATGACTTTGTTTAAGACTGCTCGTATGGTGAAAAAATTAACAAAAGTAAGTTTAATAAATTGAAAAAGGGGGTTAGAAATCTACTGGCTGAAGAAATTAAAGTTATAACCTATGTGATTAAATTTAAAATTGAAGAGGCTGAGCTCCTCGGAGACTTGATGACAATAAAAGTAGAGGAAATGACTGAAGAAGAAGGGGATGGTTAAAGGAGAAAAGGAGTTAATCAACAATTAGAGATAATAGAGGTTCTTCATGCTTACATCATCTAGCACCCTGGATAAAATCTATTTTAGTAGTAATAAATTCGGTTTATAAAAACCTAAAATTTTATGTATGAGTGTGCTACTAAGTTGTTGGCCAAGAGAAGGTGAGCAATGTTAGATAAGGATTTTTTTGTAATAGGGGAAAATTATGAATTTTGATAAATTGTCAATTTGTCAAATTGTCAACAATTTTTATTTTTTTTTTTTTATTTCCCACAATATCACTATAATGTCATCACTTCTTCTTCGCGTGCCATATCAGAATTATCGGACGTTGGCGATCACCATTGCGAAGGCTTCTCGATCTTCTGCAATATGGAATAATTTTCTCGCATTTGATATCCGAGTCAATTCACGAATGTTTCTGAACCAAGAAACCCGTTTCCTTCCTACATCTCAGGGATGGTAAGGATCAGTTGTAATATTTTGTATCGACTTCCCCTTACTACATATCCCAGATAAAACATTTTTCGATGTTTAACAGTCTTTAGCAGTTCTCTATTTTTGTTGATGCTCCTTAGTACTCCTTCATTAGTTTTCCTTGCCGTCCAAGGTATCTTCAGCATTCGTCTATGAACCCACATTTCCAATGCTTCAATTTTGTTCATGATCGATACTTTTAGCGTCCACACTTCTGCACTATACAAAAGTACGGACCAAAGCCCTTAACCATTCTTTGTCTTAGTGAAGCATGTTCATAATTTCTTTAAATTATTCCCTTTAGTAAATTATTTTCACGCCGCCCATGCCTGCAACAAAGAAATAACTGCGACAAATGGTTCTTCTGCTTTTTATCTTATTTTGGTACATAAAAATCTCTCCTAATAACAAAGGAAAAAGGTCTCTATTGTGAAATCTCCGAGCTACCTTCTCAGAAAAACAGAAGAGTTGTTTTTCGTAGAAAGTTACTTTCCATTGGTAAAAGCTACGAAAATGAACCCCAGTAGCCCAGCAATTTAATGTCAATTTCGCATGGCATCCTTCAGCCAATATCCCCTCCCAATTTTCAACCTTCGCTTGTCTAAGCCCTTCTAAGTTCACAATCCGATGTTCATTTTCCAAGTTGGTTCCTGTGGCAAGCGGTCTTATCTTCGACAATCGGCGACGCCTTCCAATTGAAGTCACTTCTGTTTGCCGTTCAGATTTTACCGTTCATATTCTACGCTACATCGTTCAGATTTTACCGTTCATATTCTACGCTACATCGTTCAGATTTTACCGTTCATATTCTACTCTACACCGTTCAGATTTTACCGTTCATATTCTACGCTACATCGTTCAGATTTTACTGTTCTTCTACTACTCTTCTCTCACCGTATTGTACTACCTTGGTCCACTGCCTCTTTTCGTCGGCCTAAGGTAATCTAAGGGATTACGTTAAGAAGACCGCAATTCTTTGTGGCTGTCATCCCAACTACCTGTTATACGGACCGAAGTCAAGTGCCTTATTGAGGGCGTAATACCATTAATACACCTGTTTTGTGAGTACCTTTAATTTTTATTGACTAAACTGTGATAACAAAATCTTTAGAAGTTGATTTATGACTCCAGTTCAGTGTACCTTCGTATTTATGGAGGTTTAGTTTGACTGAGTATTTTATAAAAATACAGGATAATATATACGTATAAATAACGGACAATTTATTTTATATGTAGCTTATATTTCTGATAAATTTTATTCTTAGATTTGAAGTGATCACGATCAAAAACCTAGTAACTTCATATTCAGGTATCCTCAAGGCGTAAAATTCACTTGCTTGCCAAATATTAACGTAGATATAATTATAATGTTCCTTGCCTTTTTCTAATTCTTGAGGATACTAAATTATTTATAACTATTTTTCAAAGAGATATTTTTTGTTTGTAATTAATAAACCATTCTTTGTCTTAGTTTTAAACTAAGATGGCTATTGCAAAGAAATGACTTCATTTTCATAAAAGTAGTTTTAGTCTTTGCTATTTTACGTTTTATTGCTATGTCTGGATCTAGTTGGTCCGTTATCACAGTTCCCAAATATGTCATTTTGTGAACTTTCTCAACTTGGACTCCGTTTAATTAAAGCTTTGCATCGGAATGTGGGTCACGACTAAACACTAAAGATTTGATTTTGTTTGAGTTTATTTTAATATCCATTTCCTCTCCTACCTCGTGAATACGATCAAGCAGAATTTGAAGACCTTCAATATTATCTGATAGAATTACTATATCGTCTGCATATCTAATCACATTAAGTAGTTCCCCGTTGATTTTTGTTCCATATGGTTGTCTCTCAAGTCTCTCCTCGTTGTTTTAGATTTTATCAATGTAGTTATCTCCAATTTTTTCGAATGCCTTTTCGAAGTTCACGAAACATGCAAATACATCTTTTCTTTGATCACGGCATTTTTCTAATAGGATGTTAAGCGCAAAAAGTGCCTCCCTGGTTCCAATAGCATTTCTAAAAACAATGTAATGGATTTTAACAAGAGCTATGAGTCATGCCGATTCAGTACACAAGTTTACCTGTTATTTACAAGGTCATAGTTCTTGTCAAAATCCATTACCTTTATCTTCGAGATCTTCACATTTGCGTCTAATTTTATTGTGAAGTATTCTTAGGAAAATTTTAGGAGTGTGGCTAATGTCATAATATAAAACAAGTAAAGGAAGTAGGTAAACCCAACCTGTAGAGACTTGCAAACCCATATGGAGATTCGGGCATACAATTCATTGGACATGGTCCGAGTAAATCAGGGACTACTCTGAGCTCCAATGCTCTCCAGGTTATCCTCTCTTCCCCATATCACGATGATGCGTTATAATTTCATCAAAATGCTTGCCATATGATGCTCCTGGGTATAGAGATACCTTATGAAATCATCACTGAATAATACTGGACAGCATAAGGCCAAGAATATAGTACAGTAAATATTAGAACAAAAAATACACCGTTAAAGAGATCATGGTTCTAAACAGATTTGTTACCAGTTACCGATGTTATTTCCCGAATCTATAAATAGTGGCTATAGTGTTATTTATTATTTTACCTGTTATACGTTTTTCTTTCTTAAATCTTTTGATTCACATTTTATTGACTTGTTGTATTTGCTTTCGCGAAGCATGTACGCTAATGAGATCATATTTGTCCGTGGTTCCAGTCATTTGCGAGTTGTTCAAAACATCGTCTAAATGTTTAACCTATTTAAATATTAATACTATACAGATTGAACGAATTTAAAACGGATCATACAATTTAATATATGTCTGTTTGAACTGAAACAGAGACAAACTATCTGAAATAGTGGACCAATATAAAACTTGAACAAAAATAAATCCATACCTGGGTTTAAACATTGTATAAAATATCGTTCAACTATCTGTCTCGCAACAATGTTGTTTGCGTAACAATGTTGTCAATCGTCGTGTAATAATCCGATTTGCGGATCTTTTTGAGAGTTATATCTTCTTCGTACCTTTAAATAAATCGGATATTTGCCTATATTTTTCATTGTATTTACCAATCTACTACAATAGACTAATAACAAAAATCAATTTAATGGTTTGTAGTTATTTTCTTTTTTTCTTGTAAATGTTTTATGGATAACACCTTATTTGAGAAACATCTAAAGGAATGAGGTTGGCAACACCGCTCAAAGAAGATCTTGTTTAAGGAAGCGATAACTGGTTTGACAGCATAATAAAATCGTAGATTTATGTGTAGCTTTAAATTTTTATGATTTCAGAATCGAGCAGCCCGCTGAAGTATTGAATTTTTATAATATAATTATTTGACAACTTTTTGTTGGCCAACCACCTACAGCAAAATTAAGCCGAAATACATAATATTTCGTATGTTCCGAATTTATTTCGTTCAATCTGTATATTTCTATACGTAAAGTTTAGTTTTTACTTTTAAGTGATTAAGAACTTGAATTAGTCGTCACTTAACATTGTAATGTCAAACAAGTAAAATATATCTTTGGTTTTAGGAAAGAGTAAATTAGAAGAATACTTTTCTGATTTCCTAAGATATCAGATTCCAGTGGAGGTCGCGAATGATTTCAACGAACACCCTGAAGTATTTCGAGCCAAGTACTTTATTAGGGACGAGTTTTTGGTAAGCATTTATAGATTATTTAAAATCGTTACTAGGAAGGATCAAATGTGAACTACCTTTCCGTCGTACAAGCAACATATCTTGGTAAGGGAAGTAAATATTTCTTTAGTTAAAAAGGATTGTCTCATTGATGTATTGCGATAACATACAAGGAAAAATTAACTATGAATTTTGGTGAAACAGATTAACTCTAGTAAGAATTCAGGAAAATACTGGGAAATACAACTTCAGTTTTAAAAAAAAATTACCGAAATGATTTCAAGGTTTTCGAATGTTAAGCAACTGTTGGCAAATACAACTAAAGTGGAAACAGTTACTTATCATGGAATACGGAAGCCAAGATTCGGCAAGAGAGGTGATCCACCTCTAGATCACAGGACCTCTCAGGTATAAACCCAGAGAAATCCCTGTGACAGAACTGGAAAACTTTAGAGTTGATTATCAAAATATGTATCTGGAATATAAAGACAATGTATCAGGCTAGAAAACTTCATATCATTCAAGAAATGACCAGACTTCGAGTAAAAGACTATCTGTATTTTCTGATGAGGAAACTTCAGATTCGATTGTCACATCACTTCAGTATACTCAATTGGAAAACATCAAAAAATCAACAAGGAAATCCGATACCAATTTATAAAAACGTTTATTTATTCCATATTGCTATGCGGAGTGAAAACAGGCACTCTCGGAATTACAAGTATGAGGCGTATAGAAGCCTTTGAGATGTAGGTTTTTCGAAGGATGCTGAAGATCTCTTGGACAGAGCACGTGACCAACAACGAGGTGGTAAAAAGAATGGGTACTGAGAGAGAACTCCTAAATATTGTAAAAAAAAACAGAAAAACGAGTTATCTAGGACATATTTACAGAGGAGAAAAATACAACTTTCTACGACTTATAATGGAAGGGAAAGTGGAAGGAAGAAGAGGTCCAGGAAGAAGAATGTGCTCTTGGTTGAAGACTTACAGTCTTCAACCAGGTTAGACAGGCAAGGACACACATTCGATACTAAGAACAGCTCAAGATAGACAGCAATTTGCTGTAGTTACAGCCAACCTTCAGTAATGAAGAAGGTACCTTAAGAAGAAGGAAAAATTTCCGGAAGCATAAAGTCCAAGTAGAAATTTAGCTGTAGATGAAAGCATGGTTGCTTTCAAAGGTAGAACCAGTCTAAAACAATACGTGCCGATGAAGCCAATAAATAGAGGCTTCAAAGTATGGACTCTACCATGCTCTGGAACTGGTTATTTGTTAAATTTCTCTTCATATGAAAGCAAAATGGAAAGTAATGAAGAGGGTCCTCTCGGTGAACGAACTGTTTTGGAATTGACCCAGACTTTTGTAGGAAAGTATTACTGTATCTACTTCGATAATTTTTTTACCAGCTTTGCATTGCTCTCCAACCTTCTGGATCGGAAATTGTTTGCTTGGACTATAAGATTAAATATAAAAAGTGTTCCTTCAGACGAACTGGTACCCGATAAAAATTTACAGAGTGGCGTCTTTGACAGTGTTGCTACCAGCAATATTACAGTGAATAAATGGAAGGATAGAGGAAACAAATGTGTCATTGTGGCTAGTACAGTTCCCGTCATATAAAACTGGTACACTTTTTTTTCCCAATGTAAACCTGTGTTCAGACTTGGTTCGTGAATTAATTCGTTGTTGCCATCATAGATAACGGAATTGCACTAAATCTAAATAAAAAAAGAACGTTCAAAAATGTTTAAAGTATTTATATAGGTATTATTATTATCATTAACAACAAAAAACCGTATCTAATAAATTTAATAACCAGAGAGAGGGTTGCGTTAATGCCCACAATGTTTAAAGAATCTTTAAACCTAGGGTATTGGCACAGGGAACATTGGAATGCATATACTGTAATTTTATAATGTGTCTGTCGCACAGCCCTCCTTTTAGCTAATTTGATATAATATTTTGTTGAACTGCCAACGTTGCCATAGAAATTAGGATGACATATGTGACAAGATCAACTTACACAACTTAAAAATACGATTTTCGGTTATAAGATTTGTACCAGTTTTTTATGACGCGAAGGGTACCATACACAATGTAACAGAAAAATCTACAGTTCAGCGTATGACTAAAGAACGATCAAAAATAACAGTACAATGTCCAAAGAGTATTGAAGATTATAATCGAAATGTGGGTGGAGTTGATCTTTCGATCAGATTAATTCTTGTTACAGCATTGCCAGGAAGTCTCGAAGGTGGTGGTTGAAACTTTGGTACTATTTTATCGATGCTAGTATTGTAAATACATGTATTATATACAAAAATTCAGCTTTGAATAAGCAGCCTCGAGTGGAACCTGAAACACAACTAGTATTCAGAAGCATTCTGCAAATCAACTTGTGAACGGATTTTCTTCAAGAAAAAATCCAAGTTCTTGGTTGGTAATAGGAAAAAATAAAACAAAAAAGGTGGATGGTAGAGCGGTTACTGTTGAGAATACAGTGCGACTGACAAATGTTGGCGGTGACCACTTACCAACCAATACGACTTCAAGAAGATGTGCAAGATGTAGTACAGAAAAGCACCCAAAAAGATCTAGCGCAGCTTGCGGTGCAAGCATATCTTAGCCATATGCATACCATGTTTCGCCACTTTTCACAATAAATAAATATTAAGTTTTCTAAATAAGGTTTTACAGTTTTATGTTTCTTTTTTTTAAAATTATTGTCGGGTTTTATTTTATAATAATAATAACAATACATTTTGACGTTATAAAGTATTGTTTAATTACGAAAACAATTAACTGGTTGAAATTTCGACCAGAGATTTTATGGAAAATTATTTTGCATAACTGGATATAGGTTGAAAAATCAACCGGCTTAGAAAAGATTCTCAGAATGTTTTTTTTTAGTATATTTATAAACTACTGTGATTTGGATACGATACCCAACCAAAAACTTTGACTAAAAACCTGACATCATTTCTGTATGTACAAAAAGTGTACATATGTGAAATTGAGTATTTCAGTGTATGAGGACTGTATTACATAGAGCTGGTTCAAATAAATTAGGATATGTAGTAAAGGGTTATACAGACAATAGCAAATTAAGTTTATACAAAGTCTTACCAATAATTCTGCTGGTATTGATCGGCTTTCACTCGTGTTTATTCTTCATACGCGGAATCTGGCCGGGCACCGGTTTCTGAACACGTGTTTCGCGGTACTAACACTGAGATCACGAGATAGAGCACATTTCTCTGTACCATAAAACAGTAGAGGATGTTTCGCTAACTACAGCGGAGAGTACATATTAGCGCAGTAAAGAGAGAGCGTCTCTTCAGCGATACATAACAGTAAAGAGAGCGACTGTTCTTCTCGATAAGCAAAAGGTTAAGAGAGAGCGACTGTTCTTCTCGATAAGCAAAGAGGGTAAGAGAGAGAGAGAGGAGAGAGAGAGAGAGAGAGAGAGAGCGAGAGAAAGAGCGAGAGAAAGAGAGAGAGAGAGAGCGAGAGAGAAGAAAGAGAGAGAGAGAGAGAGAGAGAGAGCGAGAGAAAGAGACAGAGAGCGAGAGAAAGAGAGAGAGAGCGAGAGAGAGAGAGAGCGGGAGTGAGAGAGAGCGAGGATAGAGAGATAGAGAGAGAGGAGAGAGAGAGAGAGAGAGCAGAGAGAGAGAGAGAGAGAGAGAGAGGAGAGAGAAGAGAGAGAGAGAGCGGAGAGAGAGAGAGAGCGAGGAGAGAGAGAGAGACGAGAGAGAAGAGAGATGAGAGAGCGGGAAAGAGAGAGAGCAGACGAGAGAGAGAGAGCGAGAGAGAGAGTACGTCTGCCTAGCGAGACGAGACTCAACAGACGGGAGAGAGCGACTGTCCTCAACAATAGTCAACAGACAAGAGAGCGTCTTTCTTTTTTGCTATTTTAAAAACGTCTGTATTTCTAAAGGACGGGATTGAACTGAAGGACGGTTATCAAGGGTTGGACTAAGGTAATGATTGTAAAATTGTTATAGAAGGATAGTTAATAATACAGATAAAAATTACATGATTTTTCGCATGTGAAAAAATTGAACACTGTATTAATTTGACCTATAAAGGGTTAAAAAAGTTAGGTGAGAAAAAGAAGATCTGAGGTGCAGCTGCACCCCACACCGCCTTACGAGGGTTAATAATGGGGTTACCGAATTACGCAGTCTAAATTAGATCATCCTGTATAAATTCTAAATTGTTATTATCAATTATTAATATTTATTTTATTTTTCAGCGCATAAGTACAGCTTCAGGTGAGGGCAAGCATTACTGTTATCCCCATTTTACATGTGCTGTGGACACGGAAAACATAAAGAGAGTATTTAACGACTGCCGTGACATTATCCAACGTATGCATCTGCGTCAGTATGAACTATTATAACCGCCCACTTCATTTTCAAGCATATTTTTTGGTCTCCAGCGCTTAATTCCTCCCTTTTGGCCGGCTAACAACGTTCACTTTACGTTTGTCAACCAAAAAAGTGGTCGATGTAGCAGCTACAAGAAGCGAATGGCCAGTGTAATAGCCATTATTTTTTATTTCTCTTTTCATCTCCATTAGCTGAAAACTAATTTTTAAATAGTACTATACTGTTTAAAACTATAACCGAGTATAGTTGTGATTATTAATTTATAATAAAAAAAAAAACGTTTTGGTTTAATAAATAATCTTAATGGTCCAAGCGATTCTCTAACTATGGACATTAAATCAATCTCAGACTAAAAGAATATTGGAGCATTTAGGATAAATGTGTAGTGGAAATATATAAATCTTTACTATAAAAGGAAATTCAATGTCTGGTCAATAGATGGCTTTAATTTAAAAAGGTAACTGTTTGCTCAATTTACAATGTTTAAAAATATTTTGATGTACTTTTTTATTGATTTTTTTAAACCCGAAACAATCAGTATGACTGTTTAGAGTAACTATTAAACATTTGTTAAAATTACAGGCAGTTGCATTAAATTTTTATTTACCGTGAAACATTGAGCAACGTTTAGAAATATTTATGCATTTATATATACAAGAATCCTTCTCGACATAGATCATTCTCAAGTATATTTTATAGTTAAAATGACATAAAGCTAGTCTTGGATAATGACGTTGTCAATGACATTGATTATGATAAAATATGTAGTATATATGTGCAAACTTTTCATATAAATTTAATGTGCCATTTTTTCAAAGGACTCGTACATATGTAGTACAATAAGAGATGTATCAAAATATCTACAATGCGTTGACGGAATTTATATTTAAAAGATTGAAAAAACAGAAAAGAAGTGTACAAAAAATATCTATCTTATAATATAACAAATTAATAACGGGAAAATAAACATCTGAACAAATTGCTCTAAATATTGCTCCACAATAATTGAGTTTATAAATAATAAGTAATACAGAATTTTCCGAAATTTAAATTGTTAAAAACTTTTTTCGCAGTGTATCCACAGTATACAGCTCTTTATCGCTGTTACGCCTTTTGAAAGCTGACTAATCTTAAGGATTCGTTTTAAAAGCTCCTAACTATATATTAATCGAATATAATTTCTTTACAAATCTAGTAAATTAAAAAATGCAATATTAAAATGAAAAATCACACTTGTTGTATATAAAATTCGTTCCATAGATTCCTTGGTCGTACCATAGGCCGTACCTGTATATTAACATAAACTAGGCAGTCTGTAGTCTGATGATGTCTCCAGAATCATCTAGTGAAAGTCATGACGATTTGTTTTTCCTAATAAGTGGAAGTTTACTTCATATAAGATCAAAGAAGAAGAAGAAACGCAGGTATTGGATACATCCTATAGTAAAATAATGAAAAAATAAAGGAATGTTTTACACGTTAGTTAACGAAATTAAAGATAGCCCAGAAAAGCATCTTCCGAAATAAAACTGTGGGTAACCTCTTCCCAAGCATGTTTTTTCTTTGTTTTATTCGAATATTTATTTGAGCGCATTTCCCAAATTGCTGGCTGTGTGTGAATTTCGGTAATTAATTTATCGATGTCTATAGCCTCCATTATACAAAATTTGGCAAACACTCACAAAAGTAACCAAATAAAACCGCTACAAAACAGTCATACGTCTGTGTTGAAGCACGAGATATCTATTACTGATGTGCCACCAGAAGTCATAAAATTGCCGACGGCGCATGGTACTCAGCATAGGCCGTGCGGCGGCCGACGCAGCGAGCTGACGAACGAAGCTCGTCTGTGTTGCACAACATAACTACCATAGACGAGAGACCGCTTTCAACGCCGCCGCCGACGTGGCGCACGCCGTCCTGTCTGTGTTTAACATAGTAGTAATTACTATTTCTTGTAGCTCCCTTATGTTATCTACAAAGACAGCTAAATTTCATAGATTATTTATGGAAATTCTGCTGTGCAAGTTACAAAAGATTATCTATGTCTATGTTAAATAGCAGTGGGGAGAAAATCTAGCCCTGTCCATTCCTTTACTTATTGTATACAGACTGATGGTAATCCTTAATTCTTTTTGATTTCAGTATGGTTGTTGGATTATCCTCAAGAGTGCTTCTCGTGTTTCCAATCCGTTGTTGCAACCAAATTTTCTCTTTCATTTTATTATAAATCGACTTGTAGAATTGTCTTTAGGAACGAATTGAGGACGTGGTTTATTAGCAGGTGGTTTTAACAATAACTGGCATTGTGATAAATAGTATAGAATTGTCAGAATATCTCTAGAGAGCAATGGAAACTATTTATTATAACTCTAAATACGTAGAATACAAAATAATATTCACACGAGTTGCAAGCTAGGCTAACAGCAGTGACCAACAATAGTATCTGCGTCACGTATTGCCACGCCCGCTGTGTTGCCATGTGCCAGACTATTTATTGTACTTTTAGAGTGTTACGTTGTTATAAGATAAGCAAATGGAAACAAACGCATTAATATATTATACAGCTCAATTATATAACCTTTTATAAAAAAATTGAATTTTACTAAGTGGCTCTAATAATTTGATTGCTCATTTATGATTGTTTTGATGAGCATGTAGACCAGATTACATGTGCTCATAGGTATATGTTCAACTCGAAGCGTGGTACGGTATATATTTTATATGTACATCTAAATTATAGAATATATTAAAAGTATGTTTCAAAATATTGTTAACTATTGTTAAAAAAATATTTTGTAAACTATTAAAGATATAAAGTTATTTAACAGCTGAAAGCCATATATGCGCTGTATCGTAATCAATGGTGTAACACGTTGACAATAATGGAGAAATGTATTTTGGATCGATTTTTCCACACTTGAAGAATGAGAACTAACAACATTTGTAAAATTAAAAGTACTTTATTTAAGCTCTGTTTTCAAACCGTTTAGTTTAAAATTTTCTATTTTAAAAACGGCTTTCGAATTTTAGATTGGAATGTCATATAAGGAACTTCCATTTTGTACAATTGCCATTGATTTCCATTTTATAGTAATTACAAAAGTAAAATAGAACAATAATTGATGGATTCGACCGTTACTCAATGGAAATTCATTTTCACCACCAGCTTTCAGAACAAATAACAACTTGGGCAAATATATTAAAAACAACAAGAGCCAAAATAAAAAGCACTTACATAGTGGTGTATACAAACTTGTGGCGACTGCTTAAAAACTTACATCGGTCAAATTGGTAGAAATGTTAATAAACGAATAGCAGAACATAAAAGGGCTTTTAATAATAGAAAAACAGATTCTACATACGCACTTCACCTTTTAGATTACAATCATTCTTTTAATGACGAATTTAAAATTCTTCACATTCAAAATAAAGGCCTTAAGCTATCCTTGTTAGAATCTATGGAAATTAACAAATTAAAAAACACAAATATAATTCTGAATGACCCACTTGAGACAAACAGTTCTCCCCTCCTCAACCTATTTCATTAGAGACTATAAAGTGTAAACGTATGCCAAAAATAGATCACTTGATAAAGGCAATCAGCCGAAAGAGCTGTAGTGATAATATTTTATAATAAATTTTGTGGAAGTGTTGGAAACAAAGTTTTCAATGTTTTAATGTTACATAAAATAGAACAATAAAGTAGCTTATATCAGGAACACTATGAGCACATTTGTTATACATTTACCTGAAAACGTTTTGACCATTTAAGTTTTGAGACTGAAAAAACTGAGAAAACAATGAAAGGATTTAAATATGATAAGTATTTTTTGTACAAAACTTCAAAAAATACAAAATGAAATAAATTATATTGTTAAAACCACACTGATTCGAATATTATACAGTTCCAATAGAGAGATAATTAGCCATGATTTTCTTTGATTTTAAATTTGGACTGTAATCATTAACCGATTTTTTATTATTAGATCCACTTTTTATGTAAATTATGGATCTTACTTTTTTATATATCCTTGAAGCGATTCGTTATATAATTACGACTTAGGAATATATAGAGAACGGACCTTATCGTGGTTCTTCTTTAAATTTTCTTGTACATTTGAAAATTCTGTAGGTATTGTCTAGAATGTGATAAAGTAGCATTACCAGAATATGTGTATTAATTAATATCTAGTAATACGTAATTTAAAAATCACGATTAAAACTGTAAAAATAAATGTTTAGGTAAAACTATATACCTAATTGTACATTGTATAGAACTTCCACAAATTATCCTTTATTTTTCAAGCAACTTTCGAAACACAATTTATTTTTTGATATTCTACAATTTTTATCTAAAATTCTGTACCTAAAGTGTAGATAAACTTAAAATTCGAAACACGCTAGTAAGTAGTTGAATAAGAAATATAGCAACATATGAAAATATGTCTTCATAGATATATCGATAAAATAAATTTAAGAAAATAACTACTAACTAGTAAATGTTCGTTGAAAGAAACAGTACGTCTTATTTTTATAGAAGCTGAAAGCATCTCGGCACTTTAATATAATGTAAGTACACATTTTGTGATGAACTGGTTATAGTGGAAGAGATTTACTTGCTCAAGTATCAGAGATCTGAAAGACGAAATGTGTTCAGTGTGATGGTCGAAATAAGTAAAATCTTAAAAACTGTTTAAAATTAATAATGTATAATGGTTTTACATCATACTCTTTCTTTGTATTCTGAATTATTTATGCCTTTTCAAGCATCTGTTTTGGTTAGATGTAGTTGTTGAATAAATGACCTGTCACTAGCAGATAAAGTGGACTTACAGTACCTGGCCAAATTATTAGACCAAGCAAGGAAACATCTACTATATGAAGTTATTTCTCTTATGATTATGAATATATTTGAAAAAAAGAACTGTTTTAATCTTTTTTGTGAATATTAACTCTTAGTGTACGTTCTCACAGACTGCTATGTATCTTAAGAGACTTCAAATAGCGCGAGATTGAGTGCGATGCTAGTAGCGGCTAGTATACGCTTCGTTTTGAATTTCAAGAATGTTTGATCGCCAGTAGTAGCATGTCTAGTGGGCGATATGGATATAGAAAAATTAATAAACAATGTTAGAATTCGTCTGACTCTATGGGATTAACTCTAAGGTGATTAAATTATGGGTTGAGGTTGCAGATGAGTTACAAGGGATTATTGTTAAAAATCCACTAGGAAAAGTTCCTGTAGCTGGCTGTATATCATATATCACAAAAAATTTATTTAAAATCCTTTATAAAAGGTATATAATAAAATGCCCAAACGGGCTATCACAAAAATATTGCAAAACGTTTTCGTATTGTTAAATCCATCATCAGTGCAAACGAGGTATACATGCCACCACCATATGAGCCACCAAAATATATGGGTCCAAACCCTTTAAATGATATAAATTTACAGTTGTTTTACATTATAGGTGGTTACAAATTATGATGTTTAAGTTACCGTTGGAATTGGTAACATGGCGACGTATGACCCTACGTAGGTAAAATGGTCCTGAGACGAAGTGTCATCGAGGACAACAACAGGTTCTCATTGTTACCGCATTGACATCTGTCGAAGCGGAGAACTTATAGATTACTTACAATATGGTAAATGATTGACAAGACCAATTGAAAGTTGACCAAGCAGAGGATCAGTTGATCATAAAAATTTAAAACTGATATTTGAAAAATTGCTAAAATAAAGTGTAAAATAGAAATGTTTGTGATTGTGCACAGTTGTGATAACACAGATTGTGTTTGGATTGCCAGTAACAAGTGCACAGAAACAATTATAAGTGAGCAATTGCATTAGCATATTTAGCACGTTCCATTTAAAAGTGAGTTGTTAACTACTAAACAAATTTAGAAACTGAATTTAATTATTTAATACTAGTTTCACTTTTTAATACAATCTCACCCAACATTTTACATATTTCTACCTTTTTTCTGAAAGCGTTTCGGTCTTAAGACATGTGATATATCTATAACAAATCATATGATTTGCCATAAGCTTCCATTATTACAATAACAGTGTGGTTATAATTTCTTTAAACTTTTTTGAAAACATTTTTACATGCAAACGTTTATTTGCGTTTTATATGTTTGTTGACATAATTTAAAAACAAACATTGAGTGGTCAAGTTAGTGTACTTGAAATGAAAACAATATCAAAAATTTAAATATAGGTTCCGTTACTATATATATCTTCAGTATTAAATAAATTTTTTAACGGTTGAAATGTTTCATGGCTATATTAAATACTGTTTAATATAATATCGATCAGTAAAGATTTATTTCAATATGCCATTAATTAGGAGAAAGGTCCAGATTTTGAGCCCAGATAGCAGCTATTGTCTCTTTCCGACGTTTCGGTTGTATTGATATTTTACACCTATTTTAAATTTATTAATATTTTGTTGCAATAAATTATTTTTTGGGAGATAATTTCAGTTAGAGAAGAGCAAGAACTTTACAGGAGAATAATAAAGATTTGTTAAGTTTGTAAATTTTGTTTGTTGTTGTCTGAAGATAAGTATCATATTTTTTGTTTATCCAATACTTATTGGATCAACAGATAGAAAAAACTGATGGCATATTTGGATTTAATATTAAAAATTGCTGGAAGGAAGATGATGAAACTGGAAATTTTGACTTGTAGTGTCAAGAAAACTAGAAAAACTATTAGACCAGTCTCTGAAATAGTATATAGGTAGAAAATACGTGTATACTCTTCTTTCCGTATATTAGTCACTAATTAGCAACGGTGATTGTATCCTTGCTCACTAGAGACTGTATATGTAAAATTATGCCGGGCGCTATAAACATTTTAAATGGTCGAAATATTTTTTAAATGTTTTACAAATAAAGAATGCTTTTAAACGCACTTTGAAAAATTAAAATCGGT